CCGTTATGCGTGGTTGCCACGTACGGCCCCGTGAAATTTTATGGCTGGAATTTGGGTAACTCGGGAGCTGAAAAAGCTGGGAGCCTGGGATTTCGAGGGAATTTTCCCTGTTCAAGTATAACCTAGATAATTGGCTTTCCAAAATCCGAGGACCAGTATGTACAAGAGGTTTCTAGCTGGCGAAATTTCGATTGATCTTGTTACAGGCAAATTTTCGAGTGATCTCATCGCGAAACACTGCAAAAACGCATGATGGCACGGGGCCCGCCCAGCGCGCATCGCCAATGATTTTTGCGAAAATTTGCCTTTGTTTTGCCTTAGGCTTGGAAAACCCTTGTTTGAGGAACCGATTTCTTTAATCTCACCCACTCTAGTATTTCCATATGTTATCTTTTATGAGAAATGAAGGTATTTGTGTAGCATTCCAAATAGCAGCGCTTCTTTACTGGCTACTTACCCATCCTTCGGGGGATTATATTCAGAGCAGGGGAGAAGCTGTTTGAGCTTAAATGCGATAAACATGGAGGAGTACTGTTGACCAGGTGATCATAAAGATGCTATTCCTAGCGGCGGTTTGAAATCGTGAGTTAGAGTGCTTAAGTGGCGCTACAAAACGCTGTTCGCGCTGTCCTCAGACACTGTTTATATCGTCATTGTTAAGTTGGGCACTTCAAATTAGGAATCGCCTTTTTATTTTAGCTAAAAAATTTTCGGCTTGGTAGTCACTCTTCGCTTTTTTACTGCACGATTTTTGCAGCTGATTATGAGAGCGGTGAAGTTGCGCGATGATTATTATCAGACTTTGGGTCGAGCTTTAATTGGAGAGGACCAGCTAAACACTGATTAATTGTGATCTCTTAAATGCCCATTCATTTTTTTATTTTGCTAGGTATCAGCATTGTTGTCTGCCTTTCCAAAATATCTTCTAATATGTGGAGGTTGAATTGCTGCCAGACAGGTGGAGCATCATTATAGTAGTGATGGCTAGCCGCTTGTAAGTACGCCCGGTATTTTCACTCGTGCTTTCGAACATGTAAAAAGTAATGATTTACGAAATCAGTTTTGCTTTGCTTGTGAATAATCTAGAATTTTTTGTGAATAATTAAAAGTTTCTGACGAATATCTTCGACTTTTTGCTTGGAAAATGTGCGTCCTTGAATTGACTGAGGTATATTATTTTATAAACTAAAGCATACACTCTTTGTAATGCAATAAGTTCGTATAAGAGAAAGAAAAACTTTGATACAGATGGAACGAGCATACCCTAGAAATATCACTGATGCGAGCCGTATTAGATCAAACACTGATTTCATTCCGATCAGTGATCCAATTCATATAAAATACTTTTCCACGATTGTACTTATAAAGCATATGTACATGTAGGCGGACATGGCACATTAGCGCTTAAGGCGTTTTCGTTGTACAGGTATAGGGTTAGGCTTGTTAGTGAGACAACCGTCACTTTAAAATTTATCCACTCGTTCGGACAACAAATTGGTAGTGACCTACGCCAGAGGATCAAACCCGCTAACGGCTTGCTTTCACATATGTATATATATATGTATATACATATATATATACATATATATATATATACATATGTATGTACATATATATATATATATGTATATACACACATATACATATATATACGTATGTGTACACATATATACATATGTATATACATTTATATATGTATATGGAATTTCGATTGTGGAGCAGACAAAGTTAAGATGTCCTAGCAATCTTTTAAATCATCAAAAGACACTTTTTTAATGGAATTTTGAGTAATGAGTCAAATCTGCGTTGACCAGTAATTTCCCTTTTCCGAAACGTTCCTTCAGAAAGCCTGAAAAATGTTTACAGAAATGACAAAATTTCTGGGGAACTATAGAAATCGCACAGTATAACAGCTAAGAATATCTGAAGAAGATGTAAAGAGTACAAATGAATGAGATCTTTAAAGTAACAAATTATGTCGGGCTGTTGCTGGCTTCAGTGAGTTAGGAAAAGGAAGAGAGTGGAGGAGGAAGGGTCAGAAGCGTGATGAGATCCAGTTGTAAGGGTTTCTAAGAAATTCTCCTTTCCTATGCCCAGTTTGGCATAGCTAAGTGAAAAGTTTCAGGGGTTTGACAGGAAGAAATTGATCGTGTTGTTAGATGTATTGTAGTCGTGATTTTGAACACTTAAGTACAAAAATGCCCTTTGAAAACTTCTGATTTCGGATGCACAGGTTTTTCTTTGAATCAGCATTCCGTTTACCGACGAAAGTGTTTCGACAAATACGTAACCTATAAATTACCACATCTGCGCATACGGAGGCACGTATGCAAATAGATACGTTAAATGTGACGAACTCTCGTTGCGGGAAATCAACGAGATTTTTTGAGCAATTGATCAGCAATTTACGTTGAGTAGTAACCAGTGCTGCACACTTCTCATCTGAGCGGTTACTCCATGTAGTTTTTGTTGCGAACGGCTGGGGAACTGGATCGGATCCATTATTTTTTCGGTGGTTCTGCGAAAGGATCATCTTTAGCGCCGTCATGAACGATTGGAGCGATCATTTGCACAAACTCTTCATAATTGATCTGAAATTCACTTATTCCTATCAGCGAATAGAATGGGATTCCCTGGAAAAATGGTGGCTTTTTTTGGTTTTCTATGCATTTTGCTTATAATAGGATTCATTTTGAAGACACGGTCCTTACGTATGCAGGAGTCTGTTTATCATGAAGCACGATATTTTGAGCAATACGTCCCAGATCAACTTATAGCTTTAGGATTAAATTTGGGCTGGTATTTTTGATAGAGAGCGCCTGAAGATTTATGACTTTAATCAAGTGAGAACCAAAATTGAAAATCGGTCTTCAGTTTTCGCTGCGAACTGAGTTAAGGCTTCAGTTCCAGACTAGACAATTTCTAACCATACATACATAATTGATTAACGTAAATGAAAAAGCATTATATCACAGAAAACCGCAGGAACGAAATTTTGGAAAGATAGTTCTCAACCGTCTGTAAGGCCGGCAGCCTAAAATCAGTTTAAGTCTCTTTCTGTACTATGCTTAGGCTTTACTAACTCAAAAACTAAGAAAACTACAGACGAGGGAAATTCCCGATTTTAAACCAGTTTTTATGCGTTTTTGCTGTTATAGCGCTGCTACAGCCAGCAAAAACGCATATTGTCGAGAGGCTGTCTGTGTGTGTGTGTGT